CAAGATCCGCGCTGCAGCCGCCTCCCAGCTCTGGTATCACTTGTGTCTCTCGGAGGCGACACGATTTGCATAAGCCCCACCTCCCCCGGGGCAGATCTGGCGTGATTGGCTCCGCTGGGGAGTGGCAGGCGCGGTTTCAGGTGGGGACCCGGTGGCCAGTGAGGCCCCGCGGCAGGAGCGCACCCCGCCTGCCCGCGCTGACCTTCCTGGGAGTCGTGAGGCAGGGGGAGGGCTGCACCCCTCTGCACCGCGCCCGGAGGCTCAGACCCCGGGCCACAATCTGGGGTGAAAAGTGTGGACGATGGGAGGGGGTTCGCAAAAACAACCGCACGGTTGCTATGGAAACGGGAGAGCCGCCGCTGAGTTTCTAAACCTTCCCTTCCTGGGCCCCAGCGGCGGTGGGATGGAAGAGGGGATGAGTCACGTTATGTGACCCCCTCCGTGTCCCCCCGGATTTGGAGGAAGGCGCCAAGGGGTTGGGTGGGGAGGGGAAGCGATAGATGGTGGTCAGCAGCTCACGCCTTGGCATCACCCCTGCAACACACCTCTCCTCTCACGCGGTGGCACAGAAAGAGGGTGGGTGGGCGCGGGGAACACAGTACAAAGGGCCAAGTACCCAACCTCTCCGTGACCGCTGGGCGTGGGCTCCCTAAAGCCCCTAATTCCAAGCCCTGCCCAGACGGCCTTCCTTATTCTTACGGACCCCTCCCCCACCAAGGACCGCTCTTCCCCAAAGGACCCCTCTTTCTATCCCATAGACCCCCCTCCATTCCCCACCCTCCCGTCTTCCCGTCCCTTAGTCGGAGCCGGTCCCCAGCCGCCGCCAGTCTCCAGCCTCGGATGTTGACACAAGCCTAAGGCGGTTTATACTGAGCGGGTCTGGAAGGTTTCAAGGCCCCAGGAACACCTCTTCCCAGCACTTGGGGGTCTCCCCTAAGCCTGGCCGGGCCGCCCGAACTGCACTGGCGGCTGAGCACTCCCGATCCAAGGCTGTGGGAAAGGACCCCTTTTTCCTAAATTGGGGGGCGAATGGGGAGCAGATAGCCTCCAGCTGGGCCACGTGCGGGAAGGGATTTCTAGGCATCTGTCACAAGTGGGGCGAGGCGTCTGGGGATTGGTCCAATGGGAACGGGGATGCTATAGAGCCGCAGGGAGTGGGGGGTGGGCAGGACGATGGTGGGGGTTGAAGAGCTGCAGGCCAAGAGTGGAGGGAAAGCTTCTCTGGCTGGTCCCAGAATCTCCCAGTCCAGGCTCACTAGGGAGCAACCAGTGGTGATCTCTCTCTCTCTCTCTCTCTCTCTCTCTCTCTCTCTCTCTCCATTCCTCCTTGAACACAGTTGCTGTACCATTCTCCTGGCTGCAGGCTGTCTTCTCTCTGAGTCCCTGGCAGCAACAGAGCACTAGCTGGGGCTCCTGTTAGCAGGCATGTCCCTGGCCGTTTGGCGTTTGGTGGGTGACTCACCAGGGACAGGTGTTTGCAAGCCCTGCCTCTGTCACTTCCTGAGCACCTCTCTGCTCTGGGCTCTGGGGACCCTATAGGTGGCCAGAACTCACCCCTGCTCACAGACAACCATACTCCAAGGTCTAAGGAAGTGGGGAGAGGCGGTAGGGGATGCTGAAAGTGGTATCTGAAACTCCTCGGGTCCCATTGTTGCCAATGACCCGCCACACATGACCATGGGCAAGATACTTCTCTCTCTCTGGACCTCCCAGTCTGTAAAATGTGGAAGCTGGTCCAGGAGTCTCTGAGGAGCAGGGAAGGAACTAGCAAGATGGAGAAAGACTGTCGCCCTAAACAGAATTATGTGGGCATGAATCTGATTGCTCCACTACACTTGTGAGCTCCTTAACAAGAGCTAACATAATCGAAAATGTCCTTTGTGTCCGGAGATATCCTAACACTTTATACATATTAGTTAATTTTTTCCTCTTAAGAACTCTGTGAAGCAGGTACTATTATTACTCCCATTTGACAGATGAGGGCATTGAGGCTCAGAGGAGTTAAGTGACTAGCCCAAGTTCACATAGCTAGTACAGCTCAGAGCTGGGATGTTTTTAAAAATATATTTTTATTGATTTCAAAGAGGAAGGGAGAAGGAGAGAGAAACATCAATGATGATAGAGAAGCATTGATTGGCTGCCTCCTGCACGCCCCCTACTGGGGACCTAGCCAGCAACCTCGGCATGTGCCCTTGACCAGAATCGAACCCAGGACCTTTCAGTCCACAGGCTGACACTCTCTCCACTGAGCCAAACCAGCTAGGGCAGAGCTGGGATTTGAGCCCAAGTAGTCTGGCTCCAGAGCTTACGATCCTAGCCAGTACATATACTGCCTTCAAGTCCTTATGGGGAGGGGCCTTGGATTGGAATACCCTTTCTGATTCTCCAAGGCTTTAGAAAGGCACAGTCCAGGCTCCTGGGAGCAGCTTCTCTGTCTCGGGCCAACAAGGCATGGGATCCCAACAGTAGCAGTGGAGCTGGTAGCAGTGAACACAGGAAGACGTGCTCCTGAACTGAGTGCCAGTGTGTGGCTTCTCCTGTCAACTCCACCCTGGCCTTGGAATCTCGCATGGGATCCAGGAATCCCAGGTAAGCAGGGGAAGGAAGGGGCAGTTGGTGAAGCAGGATATATTGGTCCTGCTCTGACTCTTTAAACCAGGCAGGACCACCCTTGCAGCCTCACCCATGAATCATCTCGGGGCCTGTGACTGTATCTGAACTGCCAGTTATAACTCATCTTCACCTGCTCATAATACCTGAGCCCCTGATCTTGATCCTGCCTCTGCTCTTTAGGTTTGATGTTGACTACAATAACGGCTGACACTGACTGAGTTACTTCACTATGTACCAGACTCTCTACCAAGTCCTTTATCTGCATCAGCTCAATCCCAGAGATGACCACTGCCAGGGGTGATATTAAAAATATCTAACAACCATCTTCAGGCATGGCATTACCTGATGCCTGGCCTTAGGGCTAGGTAAAGGACTTAGTATGTCTCTGTTTTGCCAAGAGGTACACTTTGGTTATTGGATCAAGGGGAACAGATAGGAGAAAAGCTAGGGAGATAGAGGGTCCATGGGCTACTAATAACTATTTACTAGTCCATTGGGAAGTATTCTGATGTTTTAGCAACCAGTTCAGCTATACATGTGCATGGGGCCTGATTGGCAGCCCTGGTATCATTACCTTATTTCACAGCAGTGGATGGAGACTCAGAAGAGGTCAGACAGCTTGCACGTTGGAACAGAGCCAGATAGCAACAGAGTGGGATGCCAACCTGGGTCTGACTCTTAACCACTGACTGACCTGTGATCCTGAGCAGGGGCAGTGTCCTAGAACAGAACTGGGGTTTCCACGTTCCTGCAGCTAAAGGCTGAGCCAGAGGAAAGAGGTGTACGTTCTGGAGCTCTGTTGTGACATAGTTGTTCTCAGACTTGGAGCCTTGGCAACAACTGCTTCACATTGTGGAAGGAGCAGGCCCTGCAGAGTGAGGGCAGAGTAGGCGGCAGGAAAGAAGGAACAGTGTGGCCCTAAAAAGGTTCAAGCAGGGAATTGAGCCCAGTAGGGTTTTCTATGAGGGCAGAGGTCTGCGGCCAGAGGCTACTTCAATTTGCTCCAACCAAGTGCAAGCATTCCTCCTCTTGTTGGTCCCAAAATGTGTCTTTATGATGGATAATGCCTTCCTGACCCCCTCCCTGGGTTTCCTCAGCCAAGGCTAGTGCAGTCTAGTGACAGCCGGAATTCCTCTGGGTCCTAGATATTTCACAGTCTTCTTTGAGTCTGTGAGAGAGTGAGATCACCAGCTTTGGGCTCCTTCCCTTTTTTCCTATTGGCTAAGCAGGATTTTTTTTTTTAATTTCCAAAATAGAAATCTCTCTATTATCTTTTTTGTTTGATTGGTTGGTTAATACATGGTGGCTAAAAAAAAATTATACAGAGAGAGTAGAAGTTCCCCATAATTCCTCCCTTGAGCATTACCTGCAGAGGACCTGTGCTTTTGTCTGCCCTGCCTTCTTTCTCCTGCTGCTGCTGAAGCCCCATAGTGTAGTGGGTTAAGTGCACAGATTCTGGAGCCAGGCTGCCTGGGTTTGCATCCAGTAACAGGCAGGTTACTTTCCCTCTCTGTGTCTCAATTTCATCATATGCAAAATAGGGATGCTAATAATAACAGTACCTATTTCAAAGGGCTACTCTGAGGATTAACATGAGTTAACATATGCTTTGGGGAAGTACCCAGCCTGGATTGTATACAGTCTTGGGGGACTTTCAATCCAGGTGTCCTGCCTTCCTGTGAACAAAGGTTGAGCATGAGGCTTAAGTCAAGGCTAAATGAACTCCCTTTTTCTCTTTCATCCTCTCTTTCCCACACTAATCTGAATCTTGAGTAA